CTGGCCAGTAATCTAGACACGCCCACAAACATCGTGTTTAGCTAGTGATGATCACTGTCAGGTGTTTTCTCATGGACAGCAATGACAGAAAAAGATAAAGTGCCTTATCCTGGCGAAGGTTGGTCTTAATCTATGAACTCACATCCTCCCTCTCTCTCTTCCACTTCTCCCCCTCCTCTTCTCACTATTGCTTCTGGCCTGGATTTGCAGTTTTTGGTCCCAAGTTTGCTCTCCAACCTCCATCCCACTATGTCTTGGATATTTGGGATGACTTATTCGTATTAAAGTGTTGGCCCTGGAATAGGGTTCCAAAGGGCATGGATTCTCCCATCCTAATAGGGTTTCCCTGTCAGCTCTCCCCACACCATACCCACAGGGGGTGGAAGGAAGGTGGAGCAAAGGGGGATACCCTTGTTGCTGGACACTCCGTGTCCTTCTAGAGGAGCACAAGAGCCAGGAGCTGAAGAGATCCCAGCTCCATAGGATGCTGGGGACAGTGAAGTGGGGATAGAGGAGCAAATCACTCTGAAGGTTCCTGGGGCCCTCCAGGACCCTGTCTGAAAGAGCCACATCAGCTTCTGGTCCTCCTGCCCCTCCAGCCTAAAGGAAGGACCCATCTCCAAGTGACCCAGAACCCCAGAAATCTCAGAGATCAAAGGTTCCTACCCAGATTTCTCCTTAACGTTCCCTAGGGAGGCTGCTAAAAACTCAGATTTCAGAACTCAAACTCTGCATGTGTTGATAATGTTGAAAGCCCCAAGACATATTGTTGAATTGAACAAGCAAGATGTGGAGGTGTGGGTGTGGTGAACCCCTTTTATATTTTTAGAAAAGTAGCAGGGGGGGAGATACAAATCCACATTTGAATTTGCTCTTGTTGACAAAAATAAATAAGATGCACAAAACTAACCACTAATGACAGTGGTTATCTATTTCAAATGTGGCAAAATACACGTAACGTGTCTTGCTAAGTTGCTTAGGGCCTCGCTAAGTTCCTGAGGCTGGCTTTGAACTCCAGATCCTCCTGCCTCAGCCTCCCGAGCTGCTGTGATTACAAGCATGTGCCATCGCGCCTGGCATCAAAGCCATTTTTAAAAAATATCTTTAATTATAGATGGACACAATACCTTTATTTTGCTTATTTAGTTTTTTATGTGGTAACCTTTCATCTTCCCAAAATGAAACTCCGTACCCATTATTTCCTTCCTCCAGCCCCTGGCAACCACCATTCTACTATCTGTTTCTATGATTTTGACTACTCTAGCTAGCTCCTGGAAGTGGAATCATACAGTGTTTGTCTTTCTGTGACTGGCTTATTTCACTTAGCATAATGTCCTCAAGTTCCATCCATGGTGCAGCCAGAATTTACTTCCTTTTTAAAGCTGAATGATATCCCATTGTATGTATATACCACATCCAGTCATCCATTCATAGACACTCAGGTTGCTTCCATCTTTTAGCTATTATGAATAATGCTTCTAGGAACATGGATGTACAAATGTCTGAATCCTTGTTCCCAAATATTTTGAGTATGTATGCAGAAATGAAATTGCTAGATCTTATGGTAATTCTGTTTTAATTTTTGGAGGAACTGCCATATTGTTTCCCACCAAAGCCACATCATTTTATATTCCCACCAGCGGGGCACATGAGTTCCACTTTCCCCATATCCTCAGTAACATTGTTAATATCTGTCTGTTTATGTATACATTTAAATGGTTATCTTTTGAAAGGATATGTAGGAAATGGGCAGATGGGGAACATGGAGGGGATTTTCACTGCAAGCCTTTTAATACTTTCTCCATTTTGAACCAACTGAATGTATTACTTATTCAAGAAACTAAATTATTTTGCCAACATTCATTAAGAAAATTTCCAAACATCCAACAAGTTTGAAATTATTTTGCAACAATAATCCAGATAGCCACCACCTAGATTCCACAATTACTATGTATTATTCTTGCATTACCATATAACTATCCATCCATCAATAATTTCTTAAATATAGAATATAGTTTCTTGGGCCTCTCTCAACACCTGCTAAGTCCTTCACATGGGCCTGGACCTTTGTGTGTTTTAGTCAATTCTCCAAGTGATTGTAGCATTTGGGAACTTCTCTCCTGGTCCAGCTTCTCATTTCATGCAGAAATTGTACCTGCAGTTTATTAGCAGTTAACCAGCCTTGGCCAAAATTCTTCCCTTGTCCGGAAGACTCTTACCCTCACAAAAGGTGTCTCCAAAGGAAGGTCTTATTTATCTTGCTGGGGCCAATACAGCCCCCAAAATCATTCCCCTCCTGGCCTACCTCTTCCCCAGAACATGCTTCGATGGCTCAATGACACAGCCTTCAATGTGGCTCCAGAACAGAACACAACTCTTCAACATGGCCTATCCAGAGAGGAGACCCAGCGCTGGTCCCATGCTTCCCAGAGCTGGAAATTATTCTCCTGGGACTCAATCTGCATGTGTCCTTTCTGCTGAGAAGAGTAGGCCATCTAAATGAGAGGATGGTATTTGTAATAGTCATCTTATTCACTATGCCAGCACCAGATCAGCCAAGCTGCTGGAATTAATAAGCATTCATGTCCTCTTTTAGCCTTTTTCTTTTTCCATAATACTAATGACTGTGATGGTGATGATGACGATGACTATGATGATCCAACAGCAGATAACATCAACAGGTCCCCTGTTGCATACCAATGTTGTTCCAGGTGCATTATTTGCATTCATTCCTTTTTATTGCCACAGGAATCCTATAGAGTAGGTACCATATCCCCATTTTTTTAAACAGATGAAACAACAGAAGCATGAAGTGATTAAGTAACTCCCCCAAAGGGATGTGGTATTTTCTCTTTAGTCACCACTACATATAAATACTGGTCTTAACTTCCCAAAGTTCCCTACTATCAAATTCCATGATATAGATCCTCCTAGCTAATATACCTGCGCTCTCAACCTTTTCTAATGCCTCATTTCTTCTGCCTGCCAAAATTTAATAGTCCTCTGTTCCACTCTCTATCTCAATCTTTCTAGATGGTTAGAGCCAGCCAGATAAATAAATTCAAATTAAGATGTCTCCAGCTGGTTTATTTACTCCCTCAGGTAAGTGTGTGTGCATGTATGTATGTGTGTGTGTTCATATACAAATATACAACCCTTAAAGTAGAATTCTTATTCTAGAACATAAAACCATAACAGATTATGATAATAAATATTTACAGATCGAAGGCAATATCACAGCAGGATAAGTGGAAAAGATACCAGGGCCTCAGGATCATCATATCTCTCCAGAAATTGTATCATATAAGTCTGAATCTAAGAATGGCTTGGCCTGGCTCAGTCTTCTTTCTGGGGAACATAGTGGGAGTTGGTACTAAGGTATTTGGGGCACCTTTTCCAGACCCCCAGAAAGTTCTAGGTAGAGTCATGAGCCATACTATTGAAGGAGCTGAAAATTTTGCAATGGGTCCCTGAAGGTGCTAATGGAAGGAGAGAAATTGGGGAAGTCCTATGAACCACAGCTGCTAGATGAAACACAGGACACCCAGTTTAATCTGAATTTTAGATAGACACTAAATAAATTTTTAAAATAAGTATTTCCCATGGATGTACTTATACTAAAAAAAAAAAAAAGCACTTGGTATCTGAAATCCAGATTTATGTGGGCATACTGCATTTTTATTTACTAAATCTGAGACTTCCAGGAAAAGAACACTGGAGACAATGCTGACAGCTCCTACCCATCCACTTCTGTCCTTGGGTGAGGTGGCCACATGCACTACTTAGATGCTCTACCCTCAGCTTCAAGGTGTCCATGGAGCCAAAGTGGTGATTGATGGGACAGAAAAATGGTCATCCTATGGGGTCACACTCATACTTGGCTATATCTTACATCTAGTAACTCCCCTCCCCCAGGAGAAAACTGATCTTGGGAGACCTCCCGAGAGGGCAGGACGGGTATTCCCCAAAATGGCTTCCAGTTACCCCACCTTTGATTCTCCTATATTCTTGATTTTTTTTTAAATCACAAAAGAAATGCATATTCATGGTGAAAATTGAAGTATCACAGAAAGTCACTCCAGAGAAAACTACTACTAACAGTTTGAAGTGTCTTCTTCCAGATTTTTCTCTATAAATTCTATCATGTAGTAGTCTCAGTTTCACAAATAGAATCATAGTGTACAGACTGCTCTGAAACTTGTTTCTATATCAGGAACTCCTTTCTGCACATATGTGTGGTTTCCTACTTCTTGGTGTTACTCTGTCTCATTTTGTTACTTAAATATATTTTTAATTTTTAATTGATGTATAGCAATTATACATATTTATGGGATACAGTGTCACATTTCAATACACATATAATGTGTAATGACCAAATCAGGATAATTGGCATGTCCATCACCTCAGATATTTATCATTTCTCTGTGTTAGGAACATTCAAAATCCTCTCTAGTAGCTATTTTGTAACACGCAATGAATTGTCCCCAACCATAGCTACCCTACTGAAATAAAGAAGTAGGCATAGGATAGGGGGAATAACTTGTTTGCCCCTTTATTTCAGTAGTGATTGGTCTTTGGGCAGTTTGAGCCCCTCTCTGAGTGTTTGATGAATGACAAATGCACTCAGGCACATCACACAAATATTTATGTGTCACAGCCTTCCTGAGGCTGACTGACTGATCCTTCACCAAGTGCACAGGATGGGGATGCAGTTGGGGCAGGGGTCCTTGAGGGTGTTAGGACTGTGTGTGATTTTCCTGTTGCTGGGATGGGGAGACCCGTGCCTGGGAAGCCTGTCCAAGGGGCCCTGGGTCACTGTCTCCACCGTGAGCCCCTCTGACTCAGACTAGAGGCTCCTCTCCTAGCATCCTCATCAGGATCACCTGATGCCAGCAGCTGCCCAACCCCTGGGCAACGTCAAGAGCCTCCTGGCCTCAAACGGGTTGGGCAACATTCACTTCCCGGCGCTGTCCTACCGACCTGCTCGGTCATTAGGAAATGACTCCGCGGCGGCGGTCACAGTGACAGCAGCGGCAGAGGATCCAGCTGCCCAGGCCCACAGCCTCTGCGTGGCTCCCAGCTGCTCTGCGGATGCTACTCTTGGTCAAAGTCCAAGTGAGTCTGGGGTCCTGGCTGGGTGTGGGGAAGGAGCAGGGCAGTGTTCTGAATTGATGCTGGAGTGATACTGGGGTGTGTGTGTGTGTGTGTGTGTGTGTGAGAGAGAGAGAGAGAGAGAGAGAGAGAGAGAGAGAGAGAGAGAGAGAGAGAGAGAATATGATGCATGTATTGTTTATGGGTGAGGATGTATCATACATAGCTAAAACTATAGGGACTTGCATTAAGGTTCTAGGGAGAATATCAGGTGCCTAGAAATGTCACTGTCTCTTAGTGGCAGTGGTTTCCCAGGGATGGTGACACCTGCTCCCTCTGAAGATGGTTTACCAACCATCGCCTTCCTCCTGCCTCACCATCAGCCAGAGGGGCAGCCCTGTTTAGGGTCATTCTGAGAAGGGAAGTTTGGGTAGTCACTGTTCTATCCACATTTCTTCATCTACTCCTTGGATCAAAGTTTGGAAAGCCTTCCACAAAGGCCCATGGGAGCCCCCAGTAGATGAGACAGTTCACAGTGAGGGCTGTGTAGTCAGACCATCCTGGGTTCAAATCCTGGGTCTGTCCGATCCTAGCAGTGTGACATGGAATAAATTACTTTACTTAAGCAGTCTGTAAAATGGAGATAATACTTACCTCCCAAAGTTATTGTCAGAATTCAACCAGGAAGGGATGCAAAATGCCAACCACATAATTAGTGTTCAATAAATAGTAGCTGTTATAATTATTTATTATGAGCTCAACACTGGACCCATCTCAGAAGGAAGATTTTCCAGTCTTCTTCCCCCCAATCTCTCAAGGCACAAATGGGGATGCTTTTGGCATACAATGCTCTGCTTTGTCACTTCACTAGCTTGTGTCCAGACTAGAGCATGTTCCTTGCGCTTCTTCTGCTGTCTGTTCCCATACGCAGCCCTCAGGTCCACCAGAGGAACTCAAGGATGGAGAATGGCACAGAATAAAGAGCAAGGAGAGATGCAAGAAAGGAGAGGTCCTAGAAAGACCGAGATGAGAAGAAGAGGGAGAAGGAGATGACATTGTCCAGGTGTGAATGCCATGGGTCTACTGAAACAGAAAGGATTGCAGTGGAAAGAGGCCATCAGTGGAGGCTTAGGATATCTTCTGCACTCCTTGGACCCCTTTTACTTTTCCTAGAACTCACATGAGAAGTAAAAAAACAAAAACACCCCTCTCTTCCCCCTTCCCTGCTCATCCAGAGGACAGTGCTTCCTGAATTAACTAATATCTACTCACCCAATCTTATCCATTGGTTCCAATAATGTTCTATCATCTGTGGGATCTTCTCTCTTTGCTATCTCCCTCTCCATCATCTTCCCAAGTGACCCTGGGCAAGTCTCTCCACCTCTCTAGAACCTGACTCTCCTCATCTATAAAACTAGGAGGTTCAATTAAATGATGGCTAAAGTCCATTCTTCCCCAATATTCTTTTATTTGCTCTTATTCTCTTGCCTACTTTGACCCCTATTTCTCAGTTATCCAAACCATTTAAGCTACTGATCATCAATCTTCCTTTAAAAAAAAAAAAGTGCTTTTTCAAGAAAATGTCCTTTTTCAATAAATGCCCTCTAGGCTCTAAAAATTCATGAAAGATGTTCATGATCATTGCTTGTCCCCAGTGTGTAAGCTCAATATTAAGCAAATACCAGATTCTCAGAAAACTCCTGTTGAATATTGGATGGATGGATGGATGGATGGATGGATGGATGGATGGATGGATAAGGGAATTACTATTGTATACCTATGGGGAGTTATGAAATGCAGGAGGACATATTGGTAATTGGTTAGCTTGAGAAAATCATGGTCATCTTGATAATAACTCCTTGGTTAATTCAGGCATTTCCCAGTGTGTTATGAAATGAAAACTGACAAACCCCAGAATTACTGTTTTAATATTTATTCATTGCCCATTACTTAACTAATCTATGGTCATGTTGATCAGGTATTCTAATTTTAGGAGAAGCGCCTCCTCTTTTAGTTAAGAACCATAACAGAGGTTACCAAAGCCCCCTCTGATCTTCCTTCTCGGTGAAATCTCTCATTTACTGAGCACTTACTGTGTGCCATATTCTTGCATTAATTCAGGACTCTAGGAGGAAAGTCGACTTTATCTTACAGATAAGAAAGTAAGGCTCAAAGAGGTTAGAAAACCTGGCCAAGGTTATAAATAGAGTCAGAAATGTATGTATCAAATATTAAAACCTGGTTCCACTATCTGAACACTTGACTCCCTTCCCCTCACCTAGACACCAAATCTCACTTCAGAGACCAAATCTGCAACCCTCTGCAACGGTTTTGGGACTGATTCCATGATCCTAGGTCTCCCATTACCATCACCAAATATTTTTACTCTTTCTTAGTGATAGGATATTTTCAACTTGGCAAAATGGACTTGGAACCAGGCCAAGAGAGCAGAGCGATTCCAAAAGATTTATGATCTTTATCGTTTGTCCTTCCCAGTAGCTGATCTCATTTCCATCATGTCTGTCGGGCCTCAGGGATGGCCACACTACTTTGTCAGGGTGTCTGGGGTCTTTTATCTCTTGTCATGGAAGGAAGAATATAATCAATAACAGACAAGCATGGTTCCTTCCAAAGAGGCTGTTCTAGATAGGTTTGGGCTACACAGTTGTGATACTGGGGCCTTTTAAATGAAGACCCATGGATGTCACCACATATCCAATTGGGTTTTTCTCTTTGAAATCATGGACAGTTCTTGCTGAGAGCATTTTGGGGATGTCTCCTTTGTAGCCAGATACTGTTTCAACCCACCATGTTACTTTATAGTGACCCCATAGTTTTAATCTCAAACAATATCATGCCATTTAATCTCTCCTTCACTTTTTCACCAGATTTGTCTCCCAGTGAGTTCTGGCCATTTCCCAAACATCAAACACATCCTCCAAGAATGAGAATCTGCCTTCACTGAGGTTCATCAGCAGGTTCTCTGACTGCCTTAGGCGGCCGTGGAAGAAGAATTTGAAGAATGACTGAGCATGGTAGGTGTTTAACTATGAGGAGGGCCAGCAGGCATTTTCATGTGTAAATTCCAGGCTTTTCTACGAGGGATTGAATCCAGGGCCTCAGATATGCTAGGCAAGTGCTCTACCACAGAGCTACATCCGCAGCCCCTCTGAACTTTATTTTTTTAAATTTTTATTCTTTACATGTTACATATTTTTATTTGTTCTTTTTAGATATACATAGCAATAGAATGAATTTTGACATGTTTTACATACATAGAGTATAACTTATTCTAACTCGGATCCCCTTTTTGTGGTTGTACTTGATGTGGAGTCTCACTGGTCGTGTATTCATATATGAACATAGGAAAGTTATGTTTGATTAATTCTACTGTCTTTCCTACATCTCCTCTCCCTTTCCTTCATTCCCCTTTGTCTAATCCAGTGAGCTTCTATTCTTCCTCCCCTCCTGCCTTTTAACCTTTCTTGATCTTAAGTAAAAGTTGTTTTCAGTAAGTTAGGCTGCCTGAATTTTGGAGATGGCTAAAAGAGATGAGTATAATGAATGAAAGAAAAATCCTATTTTCTTTCACATCTCAGATTGGTTTTAAGTGTTAGCATCTGCCTATCAGAGAGAAACTTTGGCCTTTAGTTTTTTGGGATTGGCTTATTTTACTTAGCATGACAGTCTCAAGTTCCATCCACTTACTGGAAAATGCCATAATTTCATTCTTCTTTATAGCTGAGCTTTATTTTTAAAACAGTCATAGCTTTATATCCACCCTTAGCACAGAGGAATGCAATCCAGTGGCTGGAGGAAATTCATGCATCAGCCAATCCTAGCGGAGGGGGAAGGTTAAGAAGTAGTGGGCGGTTTCTGAAAAAGGGCCACTTTGGATACGGACCCAAATTGAAGACTGGACTGAGCCAGGACATACATTTTCTTAGCTCTCTGTTTGCCCTGGGAACTGGGTCCTCCTGTCTTCACTTCTGCATTGGACCAGGAAGAGGTGAGGTAGTGACCTCACCATGAGTGCATGTCATGGTTGGGGTGAGGCATCGGGCACTTGGGGGTAGTTTTCATCACGCTCCTCACACCTCCTTTCACAATCCAGCGTGGCTTGGATCTCTCATCTGTTTTGCAGCGCCCCTTCCAGAAGCTTCTGTGCGTCTGCTTCCTAAGACTCTTGGGTCTCTAGGTCTTAGGTTTTGGTTTGAATCAGGGCACTAAAGAGAAGCAGCAGAAGCGGAAAGAGTGGGAGTACAAAGAAGAGGAAGGTTAGAGAAAGACAAAGCTTAGAGAAATCCCTTGAGGCAGGGATGTGGGTGGAAGTTAGGAAGTGGGGGAGGGGGAAGGAGGAAGAAAGGCCTGGATGTTCATGATCCTCCACCTTTGTCCTTTGACCAGCTAAACCCTGCCTTCTCTGAGGGGGTCATGTCAGAAGGGGAGAGCAAGGACAGCTCGGGCAGCGAGTGCCCTGTATGCTACGAGAAGTTCCGGGACTTGGAGGGTGCTAGCCGGACGCTGAGCTGCGGCCACGTGTTCTGCCACGACTGCTTGGTCAAGTATCTGCTGTCCACCCAGGTGGACGGGCAGGTACAGAGGACCATCGTCTGCCCCATCTGCCGCTATGTCACCTTCCTCAGCAAGAAGAGCTCCCGCTGGCCCTCCATGCTGGACAAGAGCTCGCAGACCCTGGCTGTGCCGGTGGGCCTGCCCTCTGTGCCCTCGCCAGACCGTGGGGGCCACACAAACCCTCTGGCCATCTCCCAGCAGGTCTGGAGACCATCCTCGAGTCAGGGCACCCAGCTTTCCTTGGATCTGTTGCCCAGCCTGCCCCGGGAGTCGCAGATCTTCATCATCAGTCGCCACGGGATGCCCCTGGGAGAGCAGGACACCGTGCTGCCGCGTCGCAGCCTGGCGGAGCTCTCGGAGGTGTCCCCCGCTCCCAGCTCCACCCGCTCCTTCTGTTGTCGGTCAAGGGCCCTCCTACTCATCACCCTCATCGCCGTGGTGGCTGTAGTAGCAGCCATCCTGCCCTGGGTGCTGCTGGTGAGGAAGCAGGCATGAGTGGTGTCACCCAGAGGGACAGAGGAGGGAGGTCCAGCCTGAGAGCTGCTCTGTAGCCTGGTTAACCATGGCTTGGGTGGAGGCGGAGGGAGCCCTGGTTGCAAACACGCTTTGAGGAAGGAGCCTGGACAGAGAGAGGGATCCAGTACCGTGAGGCTGGAAGTATGACGGCTGTGCTCCACCTTCACCCACCCAGTCTCAGCAGGAGTTAAAGCGTGGCAGGGAGGCGACAGCTGAGCTGACCTGAGAAGCAGGTGCTCCACATGTGGCCCCTATGTGTATCCTCAGCAAATACCACTCCTCTAGGCCAGAACTGAGCAGCCTGGGCAGATCCATGGTCACTGCCCATGGGGTCACCAGCCCTAAGGTGCAGTCACCTGCCAGGTGACAAGCCTGAAGCCAAGGGGGCCTCCTTCAGAACAAGGAAGTTCTGCTGGCCTGTGTCTTGCCCGATGGGGGCCCAGTGGCAGACCTCCTCCAGAATTCTCACTGGGGATTTTCTAGGTTTCTAATGCAAACCAGAACAAGTAGTAGAGTTGGTGCCAGGGCCCAGGTTCAGGTTTCCCAGAATCTTAGCACCTGTACACAACCCTCCCAGCATCCCAGTCCTCCCTGTCTTCTATTCACCAGCCTGGAACATCTTCCCTGAGTGGGAAGCTGATCTCAGAGGCTGTGGCCCAAGCTTGGCTGGGGGAAGCAACAGAAGAGGGTCAGCCGGGAGAGCTGAGGCTACAAGGGCTGTTGACAGAGGCCACAAACTGAGTCAGAGATCTGAGTCCTCTGGACCTACCTCTCAAGGAACGGGCCAGATTTTAAGTTTTGGGGTTCTCAAGGGTGGAGTGGAATGAAAGGCAGGGAGTGGAGGGGAAGCTCGACAGGCCAGACTGGAGTCAGCTGAGAACTATGTGGGCAAATTAACCCCTGGGGGCTCCCGCCTCCCTCCCAGCCCAGGTCCTCCTCCTTCTCATGACCCAACCATTCATTAGAAGCTGCACCAGCTGGGCCAGTTCCTGAGGTGGATTCTCAAGCCAAGCTGGGCGAGGAAGGGTGGAGAAGAAAACAGCTGTGCTTGGCGGGGACACTGCTGTCTCAACAAATGCCGAGAACCAGCTGCTATCCAAGGCTGCTTCATCTGAGGACCCTTGACGAGGCCCACCTGAAAAGCTCACAGTGGGTCTTGCCTGAGGAACCAGTATGCAAGTGTAGAGCTATTGGCTGTCCGAGGCCCATAAGCCAACCATGCACGGAGGGTGGAAAGCAGCAAAAAACCTCCAGCTATTGTCACAAGTACAGGGGGTTGGCACCAAGTGCCAAAACTAAGCCTTCCACAACCCATACCCTCTTATCAAAGTTTGCTATCTGTATGGAGAAAAATAGCACTGTGCCTCTTATCTGGTTCCCAAATAGCTGCAGGTGGTCATCATTTGGGGATTACTAGGGAGTAGGGTCCACAATGCAGGGATATTTGTGACCCCAGGAAAAAAATCAAATTTAAAACACTTATGAGCTTCCTTATGCCTTTTCTGAGACCAGAGAAGAACATAGGTGCTATGGGGGGGCGTGTGCCAGTGGAATGGGGGGTATTTATTTTAGGAACAAAAATAAACTTTGCAAAGACTCTAATGAGTCTGTCTTCACCTCAGCCAAGCTGCTTTAAAATGTTGTGAATTTCTAGGGACCTCACTGAAGTCTTTTCAGATTCTGTTGTATTTGCCCAGAGTTTCTTTCAAAATACCTGCAGTGTTTTCATATCATTCAGCAGTAACTCCTAGATGGTACTTCTTTTATTTTCAAAGAATGCCAAAAGCTATTTTTTAAATAAAGGTCTATATTTTCTCAAAGATTCCAAAGACTCTGTGATGCAGGTGGGAAGTTCTGAGCTTGGACTTTTAGTGTAATTCATGTAAGAATTAAAAAGATCCATGGAAAATACAAATGCAAATGCCCCTTAACACCGATCTATTTGTAAAAGAAATGCAATTTAAAATTCTTACAGCATTCTTTTTTTTTTGGGGGGGGGGGGACTGGGTTTTGAACCTAGGGGTATTTTACCATTGAGCAACATCCCCAGCCCTTTTTATCCAATTATAGGTGGACACCACCTTTATTTTATTTTTATGTGGCGCTAAGGATCGAACCCAGTGCCTTACTCATGCCAGGTGAGTGCTCTACTACTGAGCCACAGCCACACGACTGGCATTCTGTTTTGTTTTTTTTTTTTTAATCTGCTTATCAAACCCTGAATGAGAACTTTCTCTGCCACTGAGACTGAGGTAGGTAGGGGAATTGGTGGTGGGAACGCATATGGTAAAGTTCTTTATCAAGGGAAATTTAACATTTTCTATCAAAGTTTCCAGCAATTTCTGTTCTAGAAATGTATCCTACAGATACACTTACATGTATGAGCAGGGACGTGTGAATAATATTATATAATTGCAGTATGCTTAGAATAACAAAGGATTGGGGAAACCCCCGAATGCTAATCAATAGGCTTCTGGTCCTTTAACTTATGGCTAGGGGCTACAGTGCAGTTATAAAGTGAACAAGAAAGGACTCATAAAATGATCAGGAACATCTCTGGGACACAATGGCAAATGGAAACAATCCAGATGTGGAACAGCAGATATCAGATACTACAATGTATATAGAAAGAGGGGGACATGAGAATTTATATTTTTGTTTGCTTATTTCTACATAAAGAATTTGGGAAGATACATGAAAAACTAATAACAATGATTAATTATTATTATCCCTCTGGAAGGGGATGATAAACTGATGAGATAAGAGGAAGAGTTTTCACTTGACTATTTGTGAGGTTTTTAAGTATTTTTTAGTTTTAGATGGACATTAATACCTTTATTTTATTTATTAATTTTTTGTAGTGCTGAGAATCGAACCCAGTGCCTCATACGTGGGAGGCAAGCACTCCACCACTGATTCACAATCCCAGCTCACTATTTATGTTTTTTTATGTATAATTTATTTATGCAAAAATTAAATTGAGGGCTGGGGATATAGCTCAGTGATACAGCACATGCTTAGCAAGTATGAGACCCCAGGAAAAAAATCAAATTGAAAAATATTAGAAGCCAAAGATCTTCAGTGTACACTCTTTGTACCTGGTGGGGAGACCAACCCGAAAACATTCAAGAACTGCCAAGCCACTTGTCCTGTGACTCGAGAGTGTTGATCACTGGCTCTGTGGGACTCGTTTGTCTGGTTAGAGGTATGACATCTTGCTGGGCACAGGATTGTACACCTGTAATCCCAGCGGCTCTGAAGGCTAGACAGGAGAATTGCAAGTTCAAAGCCAGCCTCAGTAATGATGAGGCACTAAGCAGCACAGCGAGACCCTGTCTCTAAATAAAATACAAAATAGGGCTGGTATGTTGCCCAGTGGTCGAGTGCCCCTGAATTCAATCCCCAGTACAAAAAAAAAAAAAAGACCCTCAATAAGTAAGGCAAAAAGTTTAATCTTCTCAACATTCCTAAGTTTCTATAGAATTTTTTGGGTCCTGTTATTTAATGTGTCTGTTCTCATTCCCCTTCTCTACCTTTCTTCTTCTTTCTTAAATAAAATCGTTTGCTTTAAGCAACCACCCTGGGGTCAGGGCTCTACAGGGAAGATACCATCAGATAAATGATAGACAGATGGATGGATAGGTAGGTAGGTAAGTAGTTAGACAGTCAGATACTAGATACTTAGAGGATGGATGCCCCGGGTCAAAACTCCATTGCTCTTCTCTTCCTTCCCTTGTCCAGAGGCATACACACACTGCCACCTCCCATTGTCATAATAATCTTTAACTCTAATATATACTTGACAGTCTAGGCCTCCCAGGTAAGCTTAAGGAACCATAACAGTTTACTGAGCCTTGGAACACGCTTCCCGCCCCCATCTTCCTAGCTTTCCAAAAACAGAACAGGGCTACCTATTAAGACTTCCCATGTCCTAACTCAGGGGAACTGATCACAGCTATGCTCCCCCTACACACACTGTACCCCATCATCTTCCTAGCACATGTTCTTGGTTGACATGTCTGTCCCCTCTTCTAGGCAAAGTTCTTTCAGGAGAGAGGCTAGATCTTAAAAGATCTCAGAATCTCCATTATCTTGACACAGAATTTAGAAATAGTAAGAGCTCAATATAAGATAATATTTGCATAATGCATGTATGCCAGTGTACCTGAATTGAATGAGATAGTTTGGTGGCTAGGAAAAAATTATTCCACTTTAGATGTGAAATCTAGATATAAACCCTGCTTTGGTGTGTTTAGGGGCTTCACAAAGACTTGATCTAATTTAATGGATCTTTTTCAAATCATGTTAGAGAAATATAGGGAAGTGAGGGAAAGACGGAGGCTGGACTAGCTGCCAGAGAATCATGCAGGGTGGAGCCAGGGCACCCAACAGGCACTGGTTAAGATAAAGAGGCTTTATAACTAGGCTGCTGGTAGTTTTCATCTCTGGGTACAGTCAATAGGCCAACAACCTTCCCACTGTATGAAGTGGCACATTGTCCAAAGAGTGGGCTGAAGGTTTAATTGTGATGACTCGTTGTTAGAGGAAGGGAAGTACAGTACGGAGGCTGGAGAGGGCTGGGTGGTAGCAGAGGATGATGGGAGCCAAGGAAGCAGAGTGGGTCTTTGTAGGAAGAAAAGGAAGATGCTGAGGGAGACCTGAAGAAAAGGGTGGAGACAGGAAAGTTTTAAGGAAATGAAAAAACTCTTCCTTAAGACTATGAAGACCAGAGAGGAAGGCAAGCCAAGAGCTTTCTGAGACTCCCTATGGTTTTCAGCATCCAAATCAAACTCATTTGGCCCCAGCGCCCCTGGACTTCCCGCTGAATACCTTTCTCTTTAGCCACAAGGATCTGGTTCCTGGAAAGAAAATGTCACGCTACTCCTCACCGCCATACCTTCCCTCCAGCTATTCCCAGTGCCTTATGGAGCTAATTTTAACATTCTTCAAAACCCAGTCAAGAGTGATCTCACCCCAGAAGTCTTCCTTGATTCCAGCACTCTCTTCTGCCAGGAGCACAAAAAGTTGGGCTGAAGTACTGGGGATTAAAACCAATGAGCAACATCCCCCTTCCCTTTTTATTTATTTTGAGACTGAATTGCAGAGGTTAACCTCGAACTTGAGAGGTTCCTGCCTAAGCCTTGGAAGTCTCTGGCATCTTAGGCATGCACCACGTCAGGGAGCTGTTTTTCCTTTGGTCTGGAGCTTAGACAACAGCTTCCCTCAAGCACATTCTCTGCCTTATTTGTAGCTTCAATGTTTTAGTTCAGGGTTGGCCTGTTGAAAGATGCTCCATAAGCATTCGTTGAGTAAAGTGGCTGCAAAGGGTATCTCAGTGAATTTAATTACAAATAAAATCCAGGACTCTTTCCTTCACAGCCTATTTAAATACACAACTCACCATCCTGGTGAGGACTCACTCCTAGTCCCAGTGGCTCAGGAGGTTGACAGAGGAACATCTCAAGTTCAAGGCCAGCCTTAGCAATTTAGTGAGGTCCCAAGCAATTTAGTGAGAGCCTGTCTCAAAATTAAAGAAAAACAACAATAACAATAACAACAACAACAAAAAGCTGGGGATATAGCTCAAATGGTAAATTGCTTCTGGGTTAAATCCCCAGTAAACTTCCCCACTCCCCAAAAAAGAACACAATCATATGTATACATATATATTTATATACATATATTTATATCTTTTTTAAATTAATGAAAACAGATGTTCTTTACTGACTGGACTCTGGGCCCTCAAGGATATACGGTTTCTCACTCTTTGCCTCACCTACAAATTGGGGTCATACATGGGTTCAGCTATAAACTATGGGTTCTGTATTACTTTTTCACGGGTTCCTCTCATTTATATGTAGCTCAGCTGATCCATTTGTAAAAATGGGGACAATAATAATAACAGCATTGACAGGACTATTTTATGGATTAAAGAAGCTAACATAAAAGGCGTAGAAGAATGTCCCCAACACTCAGCAAACTCCCTACTGTCTTATGTATTATTATGAAATTTGTCTCCTGACAGTATGACATCTGCATTATTCATTCAACAGAAACTGATGCCTCAGAATCCATTTGCAGGGGAGCGTACCCCTTTTCCCTGAGCATCCCTATGCCCGGCTCTTCACAGTGTGGTCTGGACCAGAACCCTTGGCTACACCTGGGAGCGCCTTAGAAATAAGGACTCAGATCTATTTCCGCGGGGTAGGGCGTGGGGGGGGGGGTGATTGGTGGCCCTAGTCCTTCGACGGCCCGTCGCCCCCGCTGATCCGAATCTCTGGTGCGCCCCACAGTGCAGTCACTGTGTGTGTGTCGGATTTGTAGGCAGAGGAAGCTCGCTGGAGGACTCCACTTTGCTCCAGCTCACAGGGTGACCAACAGGCCAGGGTTCCGACGCCACCAGGCGGAACAAAGTAGGACCTGCCTTTTTTTGGCTAAAGGGGCGCCCACCTCCAGACACCCAGGAGTGATGGGACCAGCCCTGTGACCACTCACTCCTTCATCACCCACTGGAGTAGTCGGCCCCTGAGTAAACCCCCGCTTTTCTTTCGGGGACCACCCTATCCAGAGAATGAGCGGCAGCGCCCAAATCTCTGAAGGGAGACCCAAGGTCGAGTTCCTCGCAGTTCCCCTCCGAGACACTAGGTGGCGCTAGCCGTCGGTTTCTTTCTAGTTTTCTCGCTCAAACTCGCCACCCTTCTCAAGCTTAGACATTGATCTCGCGGGATCTCCCGTTAACTTACAGAACCGGAAGAAACGTGTAGGTCTCTTCCCTTTTGCGGCCATCGCTGAAGCGGCAGCGGGTGAGGAGTCAGCGGGG